AAATTACTGAAGTAATTCAATCTTATTTACAAGTTGGAAAACTTGGCTGTTTTATGTCTATTAGTTTTGTTCCCCTAACCTGATTATAAACTCTAGTTACATAAATTTTTGCATTTACTTAACAAAAGTAATGTAGTTATATAGGATGGATGCATATCGAGCAACCAATTAATAAGCTTCTTTATGCAAAGCAGCTTTATTATCCTTTTTTTTTTTTTCTTTTTTTGAGATGGAGTCTCACTTTGTTGCCAAGGCTGGAGTGCAATGGTGTGATCTCGGCTTACTGCAACCTCCGCCTCCCAGGTTCAAGTGATTCTCATGCCTCAGCCTCCCAAGTAGCTGGGACTCCAGGTGTGCACCACCACACCTGGCTAACTTTTTGTATTTTTTAGCAGAGATGCGGTTTCATGATGTTGGACAGGTTGATCTCCAACTCCTGCCCTCAAGTGATCTGCCCACCTCAGCCTCCCAAACTGTTGGGATTACAGGCATGAGCCATCACACCTGGCTGTGCAATGGTCCTTAATCTTAGTTACACACTGATCATTTCAGATGGGGTGGTGTAAAAAATGGTCTTGCCTGCACCCCCTCATTCAGTCTGATCGAATAGTATCAGGTGAGGCCTGAACTTCATGTACAACCATAGTTGAGAACCACCACTAATGTTTTTCTTGATGAAATTGTTATGGGAGTGAGCACAACCTGTCATAATATGGCAGGCTCATTTATCTCTAAACATGAAAAACATTATCTGAATATATTTATTTATCGACTGACCTAATAAGAGTAAGTGGGCCTAAGAGTCTTTTCTGAAAGACTCTTGTCTGAATTGTGAATTCTGTTGCCAAAAGCACTAATGGACAACCCATCTGCCAATATTGTATAGATTCTCATAGAATGTCACATTAACTCTACAACCAGATACAGAAACAAAAACTGTAGCTAATATGCTCAAATAGAAGAGTTCTTCTTGGTCCTTCTACTTTCCACAACTCTGTCTTTCCCATTTAAAAGTAAAATCCTATTAATGTATTGTTTTATTTGATTGATATATTTATTCAATTGATGCACTGCTGCATTTCTTAATCAGCCACTTCAAGCTGATTGTAACCAAGTAACTACAAATCCATTCCTGCTCCGATTTGTCCCCCTCACTTTCTACCCACAATGTTTGTGCCTACTTCATTTGGAAACACAACATTATATGCTTTCTAAATTGACAAGTTTTAAATTTTAGTAAACAAAGACCAGCAGAAACACTCGTGTACTAAAGAAAAATAAGTTAGGTTTATTTTTCTTGCTTCAGCGGTTAAGAATGCACCCTTGAGTAATTACGGGATAATTCACTAAGTGGATTTGGGAGGGGCTTTGTATAGGATTTGGACTAGAGATGATAGTCCTAAATAAGATTTAACGAAACAGGAGTCAGTGCTGCGTTAGATGTTGTCAAGAACTGGGATCAACTCCATGATGGGGTACCTTGGTGACTTTTATCCAGGAAAGGAGAGGATTACAGTAGATGTAGACCAGAAGTATCATTAGTAAAGGATTGACAGTCATTTCTGTTAGCTGTAAGAGGGGGATGTTTAATCTTCTTTACAGTTTTTAGTGTCCTTGTCTGTCTTGTTACAAACATGGTCACAGACTGGCTTTATATAAACGATGCTTCTATTCTGAGTTTTCATAATGTTCAGTTGGGATTACCATGGCCTGGCTACCTGAAGGGCCACTTTTTGCTTTCTCAGAAGTTAAAAACGGTTCAATAGATGAGTTTTTCAACTCAAGAATGTTGTATCTGACAGAGGAAAAAAAGCTATGAAATATTGCTACAGGTGTAAATTAAAGGCAGAGGTCTGCAAGTGAAGAGTAAACCTTCGAAAGGCAGAATTGTTCAAATAACTTATGAGAGTGTAATAAGTATGTAAAATAACTTCTAGTTCTAACAGGCAAAATAAGAGGGACTGCTCTTTGGTTAGGCTGGGTGTGGTGGCTCACACCTGTAATCCCAGCACTTTGGGAGGCCAAGGTGGGTTAGATTGCTCTTTTGGCCCTACCAGGGCAAAGCGTGTGCTGATGATCCCCAATAACTTTACAGACCCCAGGAATATAAATTGCTTTATTACTCATTGGCCTGCACATTTGCAGCTATTATGGGCACATCAGAGACAAAGTAAATGGGTTCACTTTAGCATCCTTTATCAGTCTTTTAGGCACTTTGAGATATTAAAGCACAACAGACACCACTATCCTAGAGGCAAGCTGTCTGTTTTTCTGGTTGATATGCTTTTCAGACTTCACCTTTTTGAAGATTGATTCATTTAGCATTTCCCTTTCATGTTCTTTCATGCATTAATACATAACTTCTTGACATCTAGAAATGCAAATGCAATATGACAAATGAGTCTGCTTCATTCTTCAGCAAATAACTTTTCCTCTTTTCTCATCCCCCACTCTAATACCTCATACAATCCCCAATGGCAAGAAAACTATTTGAAAGCAATAAACGTTACGGTTTACATTATATTTCCCTTAAAATACATACACCTTATTGGAATTCTCCCAATATTCTTCAAGGAAAGAAAATATAGTATTCTTGTTGCCAATCTAAATAAGCAAAAAAGTGTTAGAGTTTATCTATACATGTTTTTGGAAATGCTTCTCACAATGTCCATGAACCACTAGGTTTAAATTACTGAGGGACTTGCTAAAAATCTGTATCCAAATCTCTATAAGAACAGAATCTTTGTAAGGAGTGTAAGACATTAAGCTGCAGGTAATTTTCATGTATATTAAGATTAATTGATTATCTCCTAGTTCTGGACAGAGGATTGATGCATGTTACTGCATAGATAAGAATAAAAACATTTGGCTGGGTGTGGTGGCTCATGCCTGTAATCCCAGCACTTTGGGAGGCCAAGGTGGGTGGATTACATGAGGTCAGGAGTTTGAGACTAGCCTGGCCAACATGGTAAAAGTTCATCTCTACAAAAAAGACAAAATTAGCCAGGTGCGGTGGCACATGCCTATAATCCCAGCTACTCAGGGGGCGGAGGCAGGAGAATTGCTTGAATCTGGGAGGTGGAGGTTGCAGTGAGCTGAGATCGCGCCATTGTACTCCAGCCTGGGCGACAAGAGTGAAACTCTGTCTCAAATAAATAAATAAATAAATAAATAAATAAATAAAACCTTTAAGAGGATAAGCAATTTGGCTTGTTCCTCCAGATGTCTCTATCACCTAGAAGAGTAGCTTATAGTTAGTAATTAGTGGTTATGTAAATGAACAGAAAAGAACATGAGGTCACAGGCTTAAAATATGAAGGTAATTTAGAGGTCATTTTGGAGCAAGCATTTAAATAAGTTAGAATCTTGGCTCCACTGTTTATTGGTTTTAACCTTGGGCACACACTTAACCTCTTTGTGCTTCAAAAATTTCGAAGAGACCAAAGAAACAGTACTACTTTCACAGTTTGTTGTAAAGAATCAATGTGTTTAAATATATAGAGTGCTTAGAACAACTCTTGGCTAAAACACTCAAAAATTTGAGTTATTTTTGATTGAGGAGTAATCAGACCAAGGTCAGGCATGTATATTTTTTGGTTGTTTTTGTTGTTGAAGAGAAAGGGGTCTCAGCATATGGTGCAGGCCAGATTCCAACTCCTAGGCTCAAGGGATCCTCCCACCTCAACCTCAAAAGCAGCTGGGATTACCAGTAGGCGTCACTGTGCCCACTAAGGTCAGGCTTCTAATCAGCCAAGTCTGACACAGATTTTCTCACTCCTCCTCCATCACTTTATTTCTTTATATGATTTGGCAGATATCAAAAGTCCTACCTTTCCAAATATCTCACTATACTGCTTTGTTTTCTACTATGGGCAGAATTTTTCACCATTGCACTCATTTTTCTAAATCAGGCAGGATTT